AATGGGTCTCTACTTTGCTTCACCCGCTGCCTTGCGGTTAGGTTCTTGTTAGAACTAAAGGCTTTGGACGAGAACCATAATCGTTCTCCTGTTCAGTGACTGGACACCCCGGCAGTACCCGTCCATCAAACTCTAATGCATACACAAACAAAAAATAATTCCATACCGCATCGGTTGTCGTGCAGGATAATCGGGACCGCGCTGCCCATTGCACCGACCAGTGTGGGTAGTGATAAGTGAATTACTGCTCAGATATCCCAACCTTTGTTTAACTCTTTGTCTTCCGTTCCCAACCCTCGCCCCTTATCCCTGCATCCAACCCGTAACATTCCCTCAGACAAATTGTTCGTCACTCGCCAAAGTTCATCGCCAAGTAACCCGGTAAGTAGTTTACTACAAAATAAATAGCAGATTCTGAAGCCTCGTCAATCACTGAATCTAGGGGCCTTCAACGTGCGGACTTTCATGCAGATAGGTGAACAAGCGTGTCTGGCGTGCACAATGGACTCTTTAGAGACTGATGTCTGTTGCGTATCGGAGACGCGGATCCAGGATACTACCACTATAAACCACTTAAATGTATCGAGGTTGTCTTCGAGGTTCTTCCTCCGCGCATCAGGTGATGACGAAGCCAGTTCAGTAGGCCAGCGTGGCGTGGGCATTGTACTCAATAATAAAGCCGAAAATGCACTACTCGATTGAATCCCCGTCAACAGCCGCTTAGTTGCGATGCGGCTCCAAAGGTCTATCAGCGTCCGGAAGGGAAGCAACACTAAAAGATGTCTGTTCATCATTTCAGCGAATGCTCTGGCGAACTGCAGTTCTGACGCACAAAAGGATGACTTTTATGATAAACTCACCGAACTCATTTGGTTGAGTTGAAGCTGCGACATAGTTGGTCTAACACGTGATTCTAACGCTCAAGTCGGAAAACTGGGCGCATCGGAAGCTTGCCTAGGCAGTCATTGTGCTCTGCCTGCCAGCGAACAGATAATGGCGATCGGCTTCCTCAGTTCTGCGCGGATCATCATCTGTTCCTATCGAGCATCAACTTCCGTCACAGCTCTAAACGGACGGCAACGTAGCGCTCCAGTCCAACTGGTACGTTAACTTAAATCGACCACATAGCAGTAAGTTACCGTTGGTGTGGCTCAGTGCGAAATTGCAGGTCCTATTGGACCACCTGCGTTGAGTCTGACCACGCATTAGTTCTGATGCAGTTCACTCTCAGACTGACGGGCCGGCGACGAATTCAGCAAACTAGTACAGCTCATCATCGATTATATGTTCCAGCAGTTCGTGTGCGCTGTGAATCAGAGCTAGTGCGTAAGCTAAGCGCGCTTCAACGTGGTGATGTAGATGAGCAGTGGGATCAGATTAGGCGAGCAACGCATTCCGCAGGGAATGTTGCTCGTGGGTCTGAGCTTCAAACCCGTCGGAGGCATTGAATATCTCAGGAGTCAGTAGTTTCGATGGACAAAAAACGACAAATCCCGACCTGCCAGGATCAAAATAGAGTTAGGTGGCAGCTACAACGTCAGGTCACGAAGAGCCTCAAGAAGGACCGTGAGAACTGGTGGGCAACAATAGCTAATGAAATGGAAGTAGCGGCTGCATCAGGGAATAGTTAGAGACTGTTCCGACTAATACGCAATACAGGTCAGCGAACTGGTATCAGTGAAACCATCTGCGATAACAGGAGACAAACTATTCACAATAGGGATCAACGACTCGATCGCTGGGCAGAATACTTCAGCGAATAGTTCAGCTGGCCTGGTGCTAAGGAGGCTGCTTCATCTGCAATTGAAGCTCCGTGGAGCAGTGTCATGCGATCCTCCAGCAGAAGCGGAAGTTCGGTCTTACATTCACGCTCTGAAGGGAGGAAAGGCAGCAGGACCGGATGTGCTCCCTCCCACTCTTTTCAAGATGGCGGATGATAACCTCGTAAGCTCTATTACTACCCTACTATGCAAAATTTGGACGCAAGAGCACATTCCTTCATCATGGGGCGAGTCGACGATCGTTCCAATTTTCAAAAAAGGATCTTGCAACGATTAGGAGCCGCGGGATCAGTTTGATCCCGAAACAACATCCGTGAACATCAAGCCGGATTCCGGCCTGGCCGTGGGTGTATTGATCAATTTTTGACGTTGCGTTAGGTCCCTGAGCTGCGTCAAACCCACCGTCGGCCAATGATCGCAGGGTTCATTGACCTGAAAGGAGCCTTCGACTCAGTTGACCGCGAAGCTCTGATGGCTTTCCTTCTTCTAAGAGGAATGTCCCA